CCAGGCACATACCAGTTCCATGCACTCTGCCGCCAGTGCTAGGACGGTTTCTTCCCGTCGCCTCCATTACCTCTGGTTCTGTGTTGCTATGAGGTGGGACGACAACCTGACTCTCGAAGGCACGCATCCCAAGCTACCTGAGAGAGCCCAGCTCCAGCTTGCAATGTATGCTGTCCATCTTAGCGCTGGGCATTCCATACATTGCAAGGCCATCAAGGCTGGGACTATTTCCCAGTATATTCTTGCTGCAGCTACTCTCATTGAGAGTTTCACTGAAGCTGACTACAGAAAGGACAAGGAGGGCGATCGCCCTAATGGCAAGTTCCTCACAAGCGTGATGAAAGACATCCGCAAGTATGAAACTATGGCTGACAGACGAGAACCGTACGACCACAAAATGCATATGCTTGCACGGCAGGTTGCTGCAAAGTTTCCTATTACAAGCCAGGTCTGTGCTCTCACCGATGGGTTTGAGCAGGGGATGTGTGGCGGTTTTCGCCTCACTGAATGGGCCCAGCCGTCAGGAAAGACGAATGTTGCCCGCCCACACACCAATGGCCGGCCGTTGCCTGCCTGTCAGACTCGTGCTGTTGTGCCCAATGACTACCGAGCTGTTACTGCTTCAGGTCGTAGGGTGGTTGGTTTGGCCATCTTGTCCACTCCGTGCAATGAAGTCTTGCGAATCTTCGTCAAGCTCCGTACCCAAAAGAATGGCAACAACGGTGAAGAACGGCAGTTCGAGCGCAATCCCACCCCTGGGGGTTTCTGCTTGGGGTTTCTGCTTTGTTGTTTCCACCTACCGTGCATTGACCAGATTCACCCAGGTCCAGTTACTGTGCCCAGCCATTTCTGCTGCACGTACACCACTGGCAATCTACTGGGACCCTCGTGTTAAACGAGCAAAGCTGGTAGACGCCCAGGCCATCGAACGCTTCATGCGTAGGTTGGCTTCAGCTGTCTACAATTTGGATCCGGTTGCGGATGCAGCAGATCTAGCACTGTGGAACTCCCACTCCATTCGCATTGGTGCTTGCGTCATACTCCATATCATGGGGTTTTCCGACCGCGACATCCAATGGATTCTACGGTGGAAGTCTATGACTTTCGCTACCTATTTTCGTAATGTGGCACTACTGTCGCGAAGGCAGAACGCTGCATTTGATCGGCTCCAGGCAATGCCTTGTCTATGATTTAAAAAACCTATTGGCCTATGACTCCTCCCCGTTTATACGTGGGGTTTGTTGATTGTTGCTGTGGCTCATCATGATGCCGTGCATTCCGTGGTATATTGTTGTGCCGCTTGATACTTGGCGTTTGTTGTCGGTTTCGGACAATGTCCTGGCCTGGATAACCATTTCTTCCTGCGGCGGCCTAAGCTGCGTCGTTCTGACGCCGGTTGCGTCTGGTGGGGCGGAAGGTTGCTTTCCGTTCCCGCTGACTAGCCGCGCCTCGCTGCAACACGCATCCCGTCATGACCTTGGACACCTCGGTCGCGTTGTAGCGTGGGTCCTCATTGTGGAACCCTGACTGGAGAACATCCAATGCAGCTCCCGTCAATCGCTGTGCTGCACGCATTCGCTTGGCCGTGCACTCCAACGTGTTATCGGCAAGGGCTTGTCGCACGACCTTCTTGGGCGTGACCATGGGCTGCCGACGACCTGCAGGGTCGAACGCTGGGTCTGCCTGGTTGTACTTGGGATTCTGCGTCTTGAACTTCCGCTCCAACCGGGCGAACTCTCGATCGGAAATCCCAACGGTACGGCACAAGAGCGTACGGTTGCGTTCGCTCAGTTGGCCGAGAGGAAACCCTCGACGCCATTGCATGAAGGTGGCCTCCACTGCCGTACTCTTGCTCCCGGTGGCTCCTGCAATGAGCCCTACCGTGGCTCCCATGCCTGTCTCCAAGAGATTGTTCTTGGCTTCCAATTCGGCGATGTATGCATTCTTCGCTGCGTCGTCCATCTTCCAGTCCTGTTCAGCAATACAGCTGTGTCATTGGTTAGAAAGCATCTTCCGCGATGTCATTGTTTTTTGCCTTTGGCACTTACCTAAAAATTCCGTTTGTGTTCTCTGCGAGACACTATTTTGTGGAGACCAGATGGTTTCTGCTCAACGAACTTCCAGCTCTGCTATGCGTTACACGCTACTGAGTTCCTTCGATGGGCAACGGTCGATTCCCCCCAGAGTGTTTTTTTACTCCCGGGATTCGCCCTGTGTGTTTTTTTCTTTCCAGCTGTGCTGGCTCGCCGCCTCCGGTGACTAATGGCGCGTACTTGCTCTCCGAGCAGCGTCAGCTGCTATTGGCTCTAGAAGCTAGTAGTAGTCCTAATTCTTGGTTCCCCCACCTCCCTACAAGAGGTTGGAACCACTCCTTAGCTTGTACCTACCAAGGCATTTCCCTTCGTAGATGTTTTTACTAGCTACATTAGTCATTAAGGCCCCAGCCCCAGCTGAGGCGGTGGCAGTGAATCTTCGATTCTTGTAGCCAAGACTCTAAGCCAGCGGGGCAGTTTACTGTTCCTGGCTGAATCTGACCTGCCATCCTGTAGACTGGTTGAGGTCAGCATCAGCCAAACAGTTCCTCACTGTTTGGTTTTCTGATGCTGGATTACCACCAACAGGCTTCTGGACCATGGAATTTTGCTTTTTCCCACCCTCCCCCCTCTAGAAGCTAGTAGTAGTCCTAATTCTTGGTTCCCCCACCTCCCTACAAGAGGTTGGAACCACTCCTTAGCTTGTACCTACCAAGGCATTTCCCTTCGTAGATGTTTTTACTAGCTACATTAGTCACTAAGGCCCCAGCCCCAGCTGAGGCGGTGGCAGTGAATCTTCGATTCTCTAATCACAGCCCTCTGCTACTGCCACTGACACTGCTGAGTCCGCTCATTCCATTGGTAGTATCATGTCTTCTGATAGTAATGGTATTGGTGCCGGTGCTGGTGCCAATAGCTGTTCACCTAACAATAAGAAACAGAAGATGTCTCCTTCCGTAGCATCTCTTCTGTTGGACAAGAATGAGATTTGGATCCAAGGCATTCTTCCCCTTGTTGGTGTTGGACAGTATGCCTTTGTAGGAGCTGTCAACAAAAAGATGAATCAACTGTACAAGGAATACTGCAAAATTGAACTCGAGAAAAATCCAAGAGCGGTAAAAGATAGGCCGTACTGGTATTCGGAAGGTCGCTCTGCTGGAAGCACCGATACTCTGTACAGTGAAACTTTCTCCAACCAGCAGCGAGCAGAAGTTTGGCTCAAGGACAATTCCAGCAATAAGACACCTGCTCGTGAAGATGTTTGCACTGAAATTGCCAAAAATGGAAATATTACTGTCATGCAGTGGGCACGACAAAAAGGGTTCCGATGGAATGAGCCCACGTGTGCCGGAGCTGCGGAAAACGATCATTTGGAAATGCTGCAATGGTTAAGGGAGAATGGCTGTCCTTGGAATGCAGATACATGTGCCTGTGCTGCTCAAAGCGGACATTTTGAAGTTTTGAAGTGGGCTCGTGAAAATGGGTGCCCATGGACTACACGTACATGTGAATGTGCTGCTCACAATGGACATTTGGAAATTCTAAAGTGGGCTCGTCAAAATGGCTCTCCGTGGAATAAATATACATGTGCTACTGCTGCTTCAAATGGCCATTGGGACATTTTAAAGTGGGCTCGTGAAAACGGTTGCCCCTGGAATGCAGATACATGTTCTTCTGCTGCTGATGGTGGTCATTTGGAAATTCTGAAGTGGGCTCGTGAAAATGGGTGTCCATGGGATGGAGAGACATGTTTCAGTGCTGTTCGAGGTGGTAATTTGGAAGTTTTGAAGTGGGCTCGTGAAAACGATTGTCCATGGGATGAAAGTACATGTGCCGGTGCTGCTGAATATGGCCATTTGGAAATTCTAAAGTGGGCTCGTGAAAATGGTTGCCCATGGAATGAGCAGACATGTGCTGAAGCTGCTCAAAATGGGCATTTGGAAATTGTGAAGTGGGCTCACGAAAATGGATGTCCTTGGGATGAACTTACATGTGAAGAAGCTGCCTCAAATGGGCATTTGGAACTTTTAAAGTGGGCTCATGAAAGCGGTTGCCCGTGGGATGTATGGACATTTTACGCTGCCCACAGGAATAACCAAATCGAGGTGATCCAGTGGCTACGTGACAATGGCTGCCCCGGATCTCAAGAAAGAGGATTCTAAATATCAATGTAAGGTCACAAATTGAATGATTCGATTCAATCAGAAGTAGACAATGCCAAGGTTTTCGCTCCCAGCTGCCCACCACCAACTGTCATCGGCGATTGCAGAGTGAGAGTCAAATTTACTTAATCACTGGCTGGTTGCTGGAAAAGGAGCAACTTAGATAACTTCCCTACATGTAGTACTTTAGCTAGATCTCCTTAAAATAAGAATAAGATGCACTGCTCACTGCTCCGAATTCCCTTGAATCTAGCTAGCAAGTGGGTTCTGGTATAGCTATTGAAGCTCTGAAGCAGTGGCAGCAACTTTGGAGAATCTTGCTTCATTGGAGCGATGGTGGGTGGTACCCCAGCCAGCAAAGCGGCTTGCGGCAGAAAGACCTAGAGAGTCCAGTCATGAAGGGGTCATTGCCTTCTCTTTTTTGCTTGTGCCATGGAAGGGAAGGTGGGATGTTCGCTCTCGATGAGGCGTTGAATGAACCCCACAACCCCATCTTCCTATTCCTTGGCGATCTGTGCCACTGGGTGAAAGGTTTCCCTACTAGAGCTGGTCCTGAACTTGGAATCTGAGTTAGTGTGGGAGAGAACTGGAACTGGCCAGAGTGGATCTAGTTGGTCCAATTGTAGGACCAGGAGTGATGCCTGGACATGGACCAAAGATGCCTGGAGTTGATTTCACTTCTTGGGAGTGGGGCCTGGTGATGGTCCACATGTAGAACCAGCAGAGGTGGAGACCGGCGATGAACTCTGGTGTACCGGTAGGTGCTAGTGTGGGACTGCCGGTAGGAGTGATTGCTTGCTGGGGATGGACCAGGCTTAGGTCCTGGTGATGTAGGACCAGTGGTGGGTCCAGGTGTTGTTCATGGAGTTCATCTTGGGAGTGGGGCCTGAACATTGGTTGGGCGAAGATTGGGCCAATTGCGTATGGACCAGGTGTTGGGCCTGGCGACGGGCTGGATGTACCATGTACCACTGTATCACTACAATGAAGTGGAAAATGGGGGGCTAGTGTAGTACAATTAGCACCACTACCGTTACCAGTACGACGTCGAGAAGCAAGCTATCGAGCTAGCGCTGCGTCTAGCTAGCATGTAGCTACGGCATGTACGAGGGGAAGGGGGAAGGATTGCATCTCGTCCATGATCTTGAAGCTGAGACCTGACAAGCTGAACTCAAGCTGGGACACGTTGACAAGCAACAAGCTCCGAACACAAGGGGAAGCAGCTCCCCCTCGTCAGTAGCCAACTCTAATGAGTCCTTCCACCAGAGAGTTAAAAAGTGCGTCGCAATGACTGGCTGGATCTGATGCAGCACTGATGCTTATGGTTCCTAGCGTTTTTATTGGTCATTTTTATGTTCCAGCTGTTGCACAGGATTCGAATGACTGCCTCCGGAAGAAAGACTTTCAACAGGCCATGAAGTTTAGAAGTTTCGCCGGTGATGTCGCGGTCGCCTTTTCCATTCAACCACTGCATGCCCTGCACGGATGAGCAACAAAGGTAAAGGTGGTAGCTGTCCTCTTCTTCTGTTGCCACAACCCTTTTGGGACATACTAGTATATAGACAACCATCCTCTGATTGATTGATTGATTGATTGATTGATTGATTGAGCTACAGCCAGCCAGTAGCTACTTTAGAATAGTAGAAAGCGCCATGTCGAATACTACTACTACTGCTATCTCATCGGACGAGACATTGACGATTTTCAAGGCATGCAGTGAAGCGATTGACTACGACGATGGAGCGAATGCGTATGCACTACTGCAGTGCGTGTCGTCTCATATAGAGTCGGACATTGACGCCACCCAACATGCACTGCGGTCGTATCTGTTGCTGTTGAGCGGGGCTCTGATTTTCTTTATGCAAGCGGGTTTTGCCATGCTGGTCGCCGGCAGTGTGCGACGGAAGAATACTCGAAACAGTATGCTCAAGAATTTGCTAGATGCGGTGGGTGCCGCCATTGCGTACTTTTGTGTGGGATATGGGTTTGCGTTTGGTGGGGAAATGAACGAATTTGCCGGCAGCGGATTGCCCGACACGACCTTTATTGGATTGGAAAACTTTTTTGGACAAGGCGAAATTGATTATCCCTTTTACTTTTTTCAATACACGTTCTTTGCGGCATCGGTCACGATTGTTGCGGGAACGTTAGCCGAGCGATGTCAAATGGGAGCCTACTTGGGATACTCCATGTTCTTGACGGGATTTGTCTATCCCGTCGTGGCGCATGCCGCATGGACCGCTAAAGGATTCCTCTCGCCGACTCATGTCGAGCCGCTCTTGGGAATTGGAATGGTCGACTTTAGTGGCAGTGGTGTCGTTCATTGTACGGGAGGATTCACGGCCTTGTATGCCACCAAGATTCTCGGAAGTCGCAGAGGACGATTCTACGATATCAACACGGGAGCCGCGCTCGATGTCCCCAAGCCCATGCCGGGTCATTCCGTTGCCTTGCAAATGCTAGGCAGTTTCATTCTGTGGTTTGGTTGGTACGGCTTTAATCCTGGAACGGCTCTCTTGCTGACTGACAATCCGTATCAAGCAGAGATTGGAGCACTCTGTGCCGTCAATACATTCATGGCGTCCAGTGGAGCATGTATTGCGGCATTGATTGTCAAAATGATATGGAGTTATCGCGAAACGGGACGATATTCTTTTGACCTCCTGGCCGCCATGAATGGGACATTGAGTGGCCTCGTGTCGGTGAGTGTGTATGATTCTGTGCCGAGGCTTGCTTTGCCAGTAATCAACAATGGTGCTCACACTCTTCTTTTGGTTTTGTTGCTGTTGTTGTCCACCAGATCACTGCGGGCTGTGCCACCCTCGATTTGTGGGCGGCCTTTCTCGTGGGTGCCATTGCTGGTGTCCTTTACGTTTTTGGGTCAGACCTCTTAGTGCGGATTCAGATTGATGATGCCGTCGATGCCATTCCCGTTCATGCCATGGGAGGTGCTTGGGGAGTCATTGCCGTAGGACTCTTCTCCGTTCCCAAACGGCTCGCACAGATTTACGGCGAAGAGGCCGGAAAACATCCCGGATTCTTTTACAGTTTCAGTAACGGAGGTGTCAATGCCGATTTGTTGGCATGTCAAGTGGTGGGCATTCTCTTTATCATTGCATGGACCATGGCCACCATGTTTCCCTTTTTTATTTGGCTCAACTTTATGGGATGGTTTCGGACCGGATCGGTGCAAGAATTGGTCGGATTGGATATTGCCTACAACTTGGATGGTGGAGAAGCCGCGGCTGCCGATGAAGGTGGTGCAGGGGCAGCCGAAGAGGATATGAAACCCGAATATTTGGATGCCTATCAACGGTACCGGGAAGTCATGCGGGAACAACGAATTCAAGATCAGGAAGAAGAAGATCCTTAGTTGGCGCTGCATGTACTGGTATCGAATACATACAAGCGAGTGGTTTTCAGACGGGCAGTGGGGATGGCACTGACATGGCGAGCCAAAAAAGGGCCGCAAACACCGAACCGAAGCCATGCCAAATCCAATGACAACAACGTGCTAGCTAGCTAGGCGGCTACGGTACCGGTACGGCATGCTGAGATGGGCAGACGGCCGTGTCAGAGTGCACGAAATCCCCACCATCCGCGGCATTGTGGTTGGCTGGAAACTAGTTAATTAAATGCGGTGACATGCATAATGAAGCCATCCTTTCATGGCTGCTGGAATGGCGTGGCACTGGTGCAAGGGATAAATTCAACAACATTTGGGCACGAAGATAGTACTCACGTACAATCGAAAACAGACGCGCTGCTAACTTTCGTACGCAGTGATGTTGAACTCTCAATGTACTTCAAAAGGCCTCGATATGCCGTGCAACACTTTTTATTAGAATAACAGACATCTGTATATTATACTTTCAGAAAAGCCCAGAGCATCGTCTGAGAAGAGGGGCTTCTTCCGAAAGAGCGACTTCGTGTGCCGACCAATCACACCTCTATGCACCTGTTCTCGCATCGGTTCAGCTTTCCTCCGTGGAACTTGAAACAACGGTTTCGTACGAGTACCGATGCAACAGCTTGGCCTTCAGCTCCTCATCGTCACTCAGGACCGACTTTAACTCTTCTTCGGCTTGCAGGAGCGTGCCCATCAGCTCGTCTCGTTCTGCCACGAGAATCTGCTCCTCAGAAAATAATCGATGAGGTGACGTCTTCTTTGATAGACGACCAAAGAGCCCAAGCAAAATAACTTACGTTTGCTCTAGATTCAAGCGCCATCACCTGAGACTGAAGCTCCAGCTTGTCCTTCTTGAGCTGCGCGACTTCAAGTCGCTTGTCAAGAACGTAGTGGGCAAGTCTTCGCAGCAATGCTTTAGACGAAGGCGACGTGCATGTAGTCTTGTCAGACGGACGATTACTCTCAGACGAGTCCTCGGCTTTTGTTGGGGTGCTCGTGGCGAGAGGTGCGTTGGAGTTAGTCGCCATGATGTCTGGATGATTGTTCTATTAGGCGCTACTGTATCGAGCTACTAGCTAGTTTGTAACCTTTTTCTTCGGTACTGTACAGTATGGTTCATCACTGAGTTTGCTTCTGCATGCTCTGCGTGCTAAGATGGCCCCGCAAATGCAAGCAGCGAGGGGCCGCGAAAAGTGGTACCAAATGCAATCAGCGAGGGCCCGCGAAAAGTGGTACATTTGAATTGTCAACATTCTTCGGTTGAGGAATACTTTGTTGAGTGTGTGTTGGTCATTGACGCCTTTTGAATACAACGCATCGTTCCGGTCTGCGGACAACCACATGAAGCGGAAAAGCACGGAACTGGGATGCGCGGACCGCCACAGTTTCTAGGTCTAGCTGCTCCGGTACTGCGATTGAGGTCCACGGCACGTGGTATGGTTCCTCGCAAGCGACCTTATTTCTTTAAAGTTTTCACTCAATGAACTATTGGATTACATTTGATGGTCTAGACATCTATCGATACAAATGGCGTACAGTACAGAACACTTTTAAAGTAGACCTTTTCAACATTCTCGAAGGCGGCGACGTCGAACTGAACGCGACGCTGAAAGCTTCTGAAACATCTTTCAAGCTTTCCGACGGTTACAGCTTGGTTACTAATCTCTCGAAGACGTAAGTGAAACAAAAAATCATTCTCCACCTGCCTGGATGGTTGGTGGACTCAAGTTGCGGAAAAGTTGATGTAATGCAGTGCCATAAAGGTCATAACACGTGCCATGACGAGGATACAGCCCAAGATGATCAGGTTTCTGGCACCATGGTCCTTTTGGAACTTCCCCCCAAAGAAACTACTCATGTACTCGTCGACCGTGCCGGTGCAATCCTCCCCTACTGTGAGGTTTTTTGAGGGGCAGTCAATATCAAAGTAGAACTCGCTGCCAGCTTCGGCAATGACCGTTCGTGTGTCGCCATCGTACAGAGATGTGATCATTCCTTCGTACACGTAGTGACCGGGTGTGATCCAGTAGGTAATCTCGAAAAGTCCTGTCATGAATTGAGGTCGAACAATGAGGCCGGAGAAGAAGTTGTTCAGTCCGATAAACACGCTGGAGAGAATTTGAGCCGTAGCCATGGGCTTGAAAAAGCACACGAACGCTTGCCCAAAATAAGAGTAAAGAGCCAGGTTGAAGGTGAAGAAACCCTGTTGGAAGGATTTTGAGGCGAGGTTAGATGAACACGAGAATGCTGTTAGAAAGGAATGCAAAGAAAATTCAAAACATACCCAAAACTCGATTCGTCCTCTTAGGTCCTGGTTTCCGTCGTATGAGACACTGAGAAAAATGAGGACAAACATTATTGAGGATGCAATGATGAACCATTTCTCAGCAGTTCCCAGAGCCCATCCCAGAGAACCAGAGCCAATCATTCCAGAAGCGCGGTGTCGGTAGAACATGTCACGAATGCTCAGCATAACTGGGAGAACGGAGAAAATGGACATGATTCCAACAATGATGAATGACAGGAAGATGACAGCAAATTGTGCCCGCATGTTGGTCTCAGAAAACACGTCTTTATTGCGATCCCTGACTAGGACAGAGCTCATGATCACCGCGATCACTGCAGACACCAATATTCTTGACAGATTGTAGTTGGGAGAACGCCAGTAGATTGTTGTGAGCCTGTTGTTGGTCAATCGACTTCGCGTGCCGGCGGAAGTGGCATATTCTTCCTCGTATTGAATCATCTTTTCAGGATCAGGATCCACTCGAAGAGATGACAACATTTCTTTCGTGTCTTGATACTGCTTCGACTCAAGGTATTCAACGTCGAATTCCCGATCCCCTGATGACATCACAGTCAAAACCCAGTTGGCAGGGTTTTCTCCGATATCAATGGGACGAGCGCCGCGGTCCTCAAAGTATTTGATGAGACTTTTGCTTTCGTCGCCTAGCTCTCCAAAGTAAACTACTTTGCCTCCCTTTTTCAACAGAAGTAAGTCATCAAACATTTCAAAGACAGCTGAAGAGGGCTGGTGGATCGTCGCACAAATCGTGCGCCCTTGCGACGCAATCTTTCTCAGCAGCTTTACCACCAACGCCGCGCTTCTAGCGTCCAGCCCCTGCAAGATGGTGTAAAGACGAAGAACATTAGGGCATCATCGCATGGCACCGGCACAAAGCAGGCAGCACGTGATAGAGAGAAAAAGGCTTACCGACGTAGGCTCGTCGAGGAATATTATGGATGGTGATGCCGCCAACTCGACAGCTATCGATAATCGCTTCTTTTGCTCAAAACTCAACCCACCTTCCTCAGAAGTACCCACCAGCGAGTCTCTGAAAGACCACAACTCCAGGATCTTCAATAGTTGGTTCACGAAAGCAACCTTCGAACTGTCGTCTTTCACCTTTTCTGGGTCTAAACGTAACCTCGCCGAGTAAAGGATAGTCTCCTTAACAGTCAACTCCGGAGATTGCACATCGAATTGCTCAACGTAGCCCGAGGCTCGGCGGAACGATAACAGTTCCTACCAGTGAAAATGGAAGCTTGCGTGTCAGACGACGATCCTGCCACCAGACAGTCAAGGAAGCCAATTGAACGCGTACCTGTGGAAACCCATTCAAGTAAACATTGCCAGATACAATTCCCGTGTTCTTCCTCATGGCAATGACATCCTTACATCGTCAAACATTCAAAAGAAGAAACAACAAAATGTCAGGGACCCGACGGCAAGACTCATTCAGCGTATCGCACTAGAAAAACTCACCATGAGCGTGGTTTTACCTGCCCCGCTCGAACCCATTAGTGCACACATCCTACCACATGGCAATACTCCATTCACGTCGGTCAACAGACGGAGAAGATCCTTGCCCGTGGATGCGTTCACGTCGTAGCAAATATCCTCAAACGACATTGTGAGTGGCACAAACGGGATATCCACCTGTTCATCCTCCTCGTCCTCGTCTCCTTCCATGTCTTCCGGTGAATCAGGCCGTCCTCCTCCGCCGCTGTTCGTGGCGGCGTAACCCAGACAAATGGCTGTCAAGATCAGGTAGAACACAAACGTCGCAAGCATGTAGGCAAATCCATAGCCTACCCATTCTCTTCCGAAAGGTGTCTCATCCGGCCCATAGACGAACCCAACCGAAGTGAGGATCTTATCCGCGTCATCCCAGTCAGATGTGCGAAATTCCAACACGAGGAGTGCCCGATACGCCCACGCAAATGGATTCCACCAATAGATCCAAACATAGTATTTGGGTATCACAATGGGTGGTACAATAAAACCTCCAAACAGGATGCAAAAGAGCAGAATAATGGCCGAAACCACCTGCACCGTAGCTTTGGAAGACGCTCCCGCTGCAAATACAGCCATGAGTTGATTGATGACTATTGCAAAGCTGAACAGGATGCAAATGAAAATGGCATAGTTTTCAAAGCTCAGATGCAATCCAACCATGAAATACAAAATGGATCCAAACGTGATGATATCCATGAGCGTTTGTGGCATTTGTGAAATGGTTCTTCCAATAACAAATGGATATGCCGAGAAAAAGTTGGCTTCGTAGTGTTTTTTGAAAATGACTCGATCATCGACCAACGCCGGTGCCGCCGTGGAAGCTCCCAGCATGATGAACAGCATACTCTGAAAGAGAACACCCAAGATGGACACGACATCTTGCGTTTGCCAAAAAACACCACCCACGGAAATACCCATAATGGCATTCTTGCAAAAGTTGGCAATCAAGACCCGACGATCTCGAATCCATAGCACCAAACTGCGTTTAATGTTGAGCCATACAGAACGAGGAAACGTGTTGGCGTATTTGTTGCGCACTCCGGGCCAGTATGCCAAAAAGGCCGTTTCGGCTTGATTTCCATCTTTATCCGTGATATCCCAGGTATGTTCTTGCGGTGCTTGGAGGTCGTCCAAGATTTGTTGATTATGACTGGACTTTTGAAAGAGATCCGCCAGTTCGTCTACCGTGTATGCTTGTGCTTGTTGGATCCCTTCCGGTGCCGTCCACAACGCCCCCGCATCGGGCGTGGACAAGATTTGCAAAAAGTCGGCCACATCCATTTGATCGGGTGGATGATATCCTAGATTTTCAAAGTACTCTTGAACGGTTTCAATAGGTCCGGCATACAGCAGTTTTCCTTCGGCCAACACCAGTACTTCATCAAAGAGACTGACCGTTTCGGGTGATGGTTGTAGCAGGGCAATGACCCGACACGACTTTTGCAGTCGACCGTAATACGTCATGAGGTCGACCATATCATATGTCGATGCGGCATCCAATCCTGTACTAATTTCATCTCCACACAAGAGCGGAGTTCGATCCATGATCATTTCTCCGACCGTGACACGGCGTCGTTGTCCACCGCTGACTCCACGGACATTTTCGTCTCCGACAAACGTGTCTTTCACAGATGTCAATCCCAACATTTCCAATCCCAACGTGACGCGACTAATGGGCGGACCGGCATAGTTGGGCAGACCGGTCAATTGTTCCGACCTTAGATCGCCGAGGACAGAATCGGCACTGTGTTGAGAGAGTCCTCGTTTCAAGTTGGGTTTTGGAATGTTGTTATTGTTGTTGTCTTTGCTGTTGTTATTGCCATGTTCCGAGTCTTTTCCGTTATTTTTTTCAATGGATCGTTCCAAGGATTCGGGGGGTGGAACGCCTCCGGTTTTGCATTGATACGCAAATTCGAAGGTTTCTTCGACCGACAATCGTGCCGCATGTCGATCGAGTTGATCAATATACGCACAGGCATTTTCGATATGGAACTGTGTCTTGTCGTGCATGGTTTTTCCATTGTAGGCAATGTGTCCTTTCAGCTGGAGTGTTTTGCCATTGTCCACCAATCGTCCGGCAATGGCTTTGAGCAAGGAGGATTTACCGGATCCAGGACTTCCTAGGAGAAGATACATTTTTCCCGGGTGCAACACCAGATTGATATTGTCTAGAATGGTTCGGGTGACTTTTTGCGGTTTCGAAGGTTCTCCCTTGGTGATGGATCGGAACCAATGAGTCATTTTGTAGACGGGAGAGGAATTGTAGACCGTCTTGATTTTCTGTGCGGATGGATCCATTTCTGCCGTAAATGTCAAATTGGAGATTCGCACTTCAATGGGAAATGTGTACTTGACCTGCGAGACTAGTTTTTGCGTAATGAACTTGACACGATCGTCGACGGTTTGTTTGGCGTCATTTTCCGTTTTTATCATTTCATTGACCGCCGTGTCTTGCGTATTGACGGATCCATTGGTGCTCATTTGCAGGACTTTGTAGGAAGTGTACTTTTGCATGGCCTTGTTCTCAATGATCAAACTGCGCAAGTGATCTCGACGACGCTTTTTGCGACCATTGGCTTTTTTCTTCTTGTTGTTGTTGTTGGAATCTTCTTGTCCTCTTGGTTCCGGTTCTTCTTCGTCGTCGTTGAATTTGACTGCCACGGCATGATCCACCTCTTCTTCTCCGACGGCAACAACCGCATCCTCGGTTTCCATCACTTTCGATTCGCCTTGGTCGAAATCATAGTGCACTTCGTGACCTCCTGAAGGGGCCGCTATTGGATTGGAACCCATATAGTCCGACATTTTCTTGATTGGACTTGACACAGATTGGAATGTGAATACAACACCACGCCTCTCCTGGATCTTGGAATACTGTAGTAACTTTTTGTTGGTGGACTGGATGCGAAGTCTACTGTAAAACACTTCTTTCAACTCAGAGACAGCAAAGGACAATACACAGCAGACCACTCCACAGGACAGAGAAGGAATGCCACTGAGGCAATAACAAGGCCTACAGTACTAGCTGCTTGGTGGAGGGGCTTGACTTCGTCTCTCCTCGTCTTCACCAACGAGATGAATGATACAAGATCGATGCAATCAACAAAAACTTTTTTGTGGTTCCAGACCGAAATGACTTGGTGTCAAATCACAGTCACCGTAGATGAGGCTTCTCAACCTACTAACGCGCCAGTCCTCACTTTTTGGAGCCAATGGTTTCAAATGGTGCAACATGAGCATTAACAAAAAAGAACTCAGTGGTGACATTCAGGGATAGGAGGTATTAACAAACAAATTCAGTGGTACATCCAGAGATAAATGGTTAAATCCTCCCTTCATTATGCAAAACATGTACCGGAGCACTTCCTTGCTGTTTCGCGCTCGACCTCTCGAGCTTTCAACTCTCAAGCAGGCGCCTTTTGGCAACCCGAGCCCCAGCAGCCAGTAGCTAACCCAGCCCACTCAAAATGCATTGAATGATGAGGTAGATCTAGCTAGCTTCGTCTCTGCTACTAGCTAGTAGCATACCGTAGCTAGTTACTCCAGAGCTACTAGAATCTTATTTGGTTTGTCTGGCTGAGCAGCTGAATCCAGAAAGCATGCATTCCATGGAGGTCGCTGATGGCTGTAAAAAAGACAGAGAAAAGCAGCAAGGAGCCAAAAAGGAGTCAACCAGTAGCAGCAAAGCGGCTCTAGTCTACTCACCTAAACATTCCCTGCTCGTGCCTGCTGCCCACACTGGCTAGCTAGCTACAAGAGCTGCTACAAGAGCTGCTACAAGGATTTTTTGCAGCAACAATTGGCAAGATGAGGTGGTTATTGGCGGCACTGGTGGTGATGGCTGCTAACATTTAGCGTGCTTATTTGCATTCCGGTGCTTACTAGCTAGCTCAGCTGGCTAGTTTGGGTACAGTGTACATGTACAAGAATACGGTGCTCTACCAGGACCTCTGTGCTGTCTGGTGGAACACAAGCAATCCATTCAGCAAGGCCATCGTTAACAGGGATGGAATAAAAGCCGTCACTTCGGACGGAAACTATTACTAATAATGACGATTGAATTTCCTCTATGGAAAATTGGTACTGAAGGAGATAAACTCCAACGAAAGTGGTGACGTCCTACCTATTCTTCGGACATATCCCAACTTCGTCAGAATGATGAAGTTTGTTATTTAGCAAAAAGTAGTACATGTACATGGCTGTGTCTGTTGCACCACGAACGATGACAGCAGTCAATAAACTATATGACGACATCGCCCAGTTTTTGACTCGGCTCTTATGATTTCGTTAGACTACGTTGTGCCTCCTTGCCTATTTTGAACATCCAACAAGCCCACACCCTCAGCAGCGACACAGCAACAGCTTGCACCAGAATTGATGATCATGGCGGCAACATCTCCAAGCCCTACAAACTCTGATGGCACCGCGGCCTCGCAACCCTTTCCTCATGAAGAAATCGAATACCCCGGTACTCATGGTTCGTCTTTGGCGACACTTCGTTGATTGTGTGGGTTGTCTGTTGGTTTGATGGGTGTTCTCACGGCTTGTTCATTCTCCTCCTTTGCCTCGGACCCTTCCTATATTGCACCTAGACGATGGTGTCATCTCGTCTACCGTATACTCCCAGATGGTAAGCAGCTCGACCATTGATGCTCTGAGGACTGGATTGAATACGCTTCTTTCCCCGTTTCTACTACATGTAGTTACGCCTTCATTCCGAGAGGGGAACAGACCACTCCTCTGAGATCCACGACGCTGTGTGAGCCCAAGGTTGGCGCAACGGTTGTGCCTGAACAGACACTCGCAGTTCTTGATCCCACTCCCCTCAAATGCAGCAATGACACGACCATGACGGCACCAAACGAGAGCCCTGATGATGACAGAAATCATGGCCTACCTTTTCCTCCTAGCTCAACTTTCGGTGGTTATTCAAGTGCTGAATTCCTGTCACCAACCATCTCCGGCTCGCTAGCTAGCTAGTCTAGTCTACCGTACCGGTAGAGGCACTGGCAGTGTGGCGGGACGGAACAAAGTAAGCAAGCCAGCAGATGTGACTGATACCGGTATCCGTGATCAGACCACCAAAGAACCTGTCGTCATAGAGCCGATGTTGACAGAGCCTTACAAGCGTCTACTGTAGAAACTCCGTTGCGTAAGAAGCGAAGTGGAAGCGCACAGTCCCTCGTGTGTTTGCGTCATTTTGCATTGCCATTTGTGCGTCCTTAGTCTTGATAATTTCAAATATGACTTTGAAGGTTTGAAGGGAGTAATTGGGGTAAGAAACGGACACAAAATTGAGTTCTAGTACGTCATTTAAAAACCATGACACAACGATTTAATAATAAATAGGGACAGTTGACCGTGCTGCCTGATGGTTTTTGACGTACTGTTCTCTGATAGAAAAAGATAAATGACACGTTGTTGTGCGACGTGACAAGGATAAATGCGACATGACAAGGATCCCGTTGGGGGCAATATGTTTGACGTCATACTCGATCAAACTCCCAAAGGTGCTGCTCCTCACTTTTTGCATCAGAACAGGCCATATTCTACGCCCGAAACACCCATATGGAGCGTATCGAAGGTTGGCAAGTGGTTCCCAGTTCGCAGCCCTGGAAGACCAGTCTAAGTGGACACACCATCATTCTGACGCGCAGCCATTGACTTCCTTGATTCTCCCTCCTGGAAGACAGTGACAACAATCAAAATCCATCGGCCACCGTTCTTCCCAGCCTCAAACAGTCCTCTGACAACTCGAAAACGCATACGGTAGTAAAACACCAGTCTGGAAACAAACCCACCTTTCAGTTTCTTCAATCATCTTTTAGCTACTCCCAGACCATGACGACAAGTAAACGAAGCGAGGTGATTATTGACCCAGGAAAGAATGGTAAGCGCAATAGCTATAGCAGACGAGGACAATTTCATGGAAGAGCACCTGTACCATGGATCAGTGCTCGAGTGCTTTCTGGTCGGCAAGAGGCTGTTTCTTGGTTGTTTTGCACTAGTTATTAGTCTCATCTTCTTGTGGTCCCGTTGCTTGTGCTTTCTCCCATAAGATGGTAAGTTCAGCCAAAGGATGACCTTTGGAATCAACGTCGCCCAACATTAAGACTCACAACAAGCTTCGGTTCTTTCAGTCCTTTGTGGAAGAGGAGGGCGCATTATGGAATATCCTGGGAACGTCAAGTTTCAACATATGATTGACTGTTGGAAAGAACGCTACAGCAGTGCTCCCTGCAGGACACAAAAGGCGGCCATGGCCATTGTGTTGGTTCGGCTGTGGCGCAAACAGAGCCCCCCAGGACGATTCTTGATCAGAGCGGACCCTTCTAAGGGGCACGATAGCCCATGGAAGGACATTGGC